CCAGAGTTCCACCTCACAGTGTAGCAGCTTATGTTCCAGAGTAGGAGTCCTTGATCAGAGGATTCAAAATGGCAACCTCACATGTGTGGGGTTTGTCTTCCAGGGGTCCTCCTCAGATACTACCTTTCTCCAAACTTCTGCTCTGGTCTCTGCCTGGAACTCCCCTGGGAATCTCCTGTGCTCCTAAGTGACAGTGGCAGCTTCAGAATTCTCCACAGGTCCAGGTCATAGGCAAGATGTGGCCATGTGAAGAGCAGTGGGCTCCCTGCCATCCCTGCCTCTGCCGTCTCCACCCACGGCGTAGCACCAGTCCTCATTTCTGTGTTGGCTCTGGCTTTGGCAGACCCTTTCCCTTCATTATGAAAAATTCGCCATACTATACTTTGCTACTTTTAAGCTGGGAAATAGATTCCTTAGTCTTCAAGTGGAGATAATAAAAATCTCTTTATTAGAGTTGGAAATTCCTTTCCCAAATGTTTATCCAAGATCTCAACTTCATAGTAAAGGACCCAAGAGATGGGGAGGGATTTCTGTCATTTATCCAAGGTTACATAGACAGCAATGAAATCAGAGTTATTAAAAATCAGAATACTAGAGAGATTACTCTGACTGGCTGGGTAGAAACAGATAAACAACTCTAATCTGTATGTCCATCTAAACATCCCATCATTTGATATGTTGCTAGATCAACCATTCCTTATTTTTAATACTATTTAATGGTTATATATTAAGTTACATAGCTTATTTTTCTAATAGTAACATTATGAGATTGACAGAACGTTGGATTGACAACTTTACAAGAACTAGGCCTTTTCCAAATTTTATTTTATTAGTTTTGATTGTTATGTGTGTAGGATTTGTGTGAGTGTGTGCCCTTGAGTGCAGGTACCCATGAAAACCGTAAGAGGGCGCCAGATCCCTGAGCTTGAGTTGTAGGAGATTGTGAGCCTTCCATGTGGGAACCAAACTTCAGTCCTCTGTTAGAGCAATATGGGCTCTTAATAAGCCATCTCTTCAGCCACAAGAACTAAACTCTTTCTTTTGAATTTGTGGGTGAAGGTTCAAATGGAAACATGAAATAAAGATCTTTAATCATACTTACGTTATAACAAGCCTTTTTATTACAATATGACTGCTCAGACTCGTTTTTAATTTGTTTTTGTTATTGTTGTTTTAGCCACAAAGCCAAACTTATTTTGGTGATACTTACCAAAAATTAATGTCATAAAATGGTTGACATTTGACAAACAAATAATAGATTTTAAAAAATTAAAGGGTGTTGTGTTTTATTTGGGAAGCTTTTAAGTATTAGGCAGTTGGTTACCTAATATTTATACTGATCTGATTTGAGAATATGAAAGGTAAAGGGATGGGTGGGGATGGGAACAGTCTAATGGCCCTGATTCCTTAGTGTCAGCATGGTGTTCTTTTGCCAGCTCCCTACCCATCCTGACTGATTGTTGGGCTGTGTTGATTACACACACACACATACACACACACACACTCCACATACTATTGTCATCCCAACTGAGTTTTATAACCACCATTTGATGGCAGACAGACTGGTGCATACATAGAACCTTACTATTTTCACATGGCTTGAACTAACTGCTAGAGAGGGACATGGGAATCCTGTCATTGAGCTGAGAGTGGTGGTTTGCACAAGTAACTTCAGCTACTGGGAAGTCTGCAGCTGGAAGAGCACTTGGGCTTTAGATTTGAAGCCAATGAAGTCCAGTATGGTAGAGTATGGTTATAATTCTGTACAGGTTATAGTTCTGCACTATACTATAGTGTGGTTATAATTCTAGCACTGGTAAGGGCAGAGGCAGACAGATTCCTGGGGCTCATTTGTCAGCCAGCCTAGGATCTTGGGGCAAGCCCCAGACCAATGAGAGACCTTGTCTCAAAACCAACCAACAGGAACCCAAATAGCAGCATAGAAGATGGCTCCTGAGGAACACCTGAGGGTGCCCTCTGGCTTCTATAGATACACGTGTGCATACATACATGCACACCCATGGACATGTTCTTATGCTCAAACAGACATGTAAACACAAAAGTGCTAGTAAAGAAGAATTCATTCATTATACAAGTAAGAGTTTGAAATTTTTATACATTTACAAAAGTCCTGCCCCTCAAAACATTTGGGCCTGGAGTTTGATTTCACCAAAGCCCTCTATGTTACTTTCTTCAGAGAAGAGCTCTGACAGTAAGATTTTCAGGTTTAGTCAATGTTCCAAGTTCTTGCTGTCAGAACAACATTGTTGGAAATACCTTTGTCCATAAATCGAGAAAGTATGGCATATAATTCCATCACCAGGTCTGGTGGACTTATCTGGACTTATGTGGGTTCCACTCCCAACCTCGGTTGTGGACTTTAAAATAGCTATACGGCACCCACACTGTATTCCTGCATGTCTTGATATGCATTTTCTAAGCCGGAACTAGGTTTTCTTACGCATCATTGTTTGATGTCTGTACTTCATTGCTACACAGACACTTGTCTCATCTTACAAGTGCCTGCTCATATCCTGAACCATTTATTCCAGTCTGAAGTGGGGTCTTGTTAAGTAGCTGAGTATGAGGTGAAGCCACTGACTGTTGTGGGCTGCTCAAGTCCCACGTGTGTCCTGACAGACTAGGGATCAAGAAAGTAAACTGAGGACGGTCTGTTGGATGCAGCAGGACTGCTGTAGGCACATGCTGTTCAAAGTGTCATGCCTTGGAGATGCCATGCAGAGAGGGAGGAGGAACCCGAGATGCCAGTGCTGCCACTGAGGAGCAATCTGGAAAGTCAAGAAGAGTATCTTACAGGGTAGCCTTGTCAGGACCCGTGTAGCTGCCCCTACAACGAGAGGCTGGCCCTACATTGACAGTTGCTCTGTGCTCCTTGCTTCTGGGATGACTTGGTGACTGCCTGGGTACCACTGTGTGCCTGTGACAATGTGCTCTTTCTGTGTGTCCACTAGGAGTGCTCCAAATGGTGGAGATCCTGAACAGGGCGTCCATGCACTAGGGGATTAAGGCACTTTACCCTCAGAGAGATTTCACTCCATCAGCTGTGATGAGCCTGTCTCCTTCCCCAGCAGGGGTGTTATGGAAGTGAAGCCAGAGAATCTGATACTCTAATAGAAACAGAAATATAAAATGACTAGGAGTAAACTTGACAAATATATAATATCCATGTAACAAAATTTTAATGTGCTCCAGAGGGACCAAAATTACAACTCAAGTAAATCAAAATGGTGCTGGGCTGATGTTTGTGGATAGCAACTAGCAGCCTGGTGAAAACCGCTCAGTTTTAATGCTCTTGGTTAAGCTATAGTTTTAATATCATTCACTAAAAATATCAATACTTTTTAAGGACATGAAGGGGGAATTTGGTCAGTTGGTTTTTAAAAAATGATTTTGAAAAGGAAATTAAAGAAGGTTTATAAATTAAACAGGGAGACAAAGCTTTTAGGAAACAGACCCAAAACATACTTAATGAAACTAGCTTGGTAAATGATAGCTTAACTCAAGTAAGTTAATTTATTAGAGTCACAAACAAATATATTTATTAATGAGAAGAGTCACCTCTTCTCATTATAGGAATCCATCAATAAGGAATTCCATCAATAAGGAAAAATAAGTAACCTTCAGGGGGGTTGAATTCAGTGTATGCTTTGCAAGATAAATCTGAAATATATTTAAGATTTACATGCAAAAAAATGTGATCTATCATAAAGCATTGACAGAAAAGTTGTATATCCCAAGGTCTTTCTGCTGTAATAACATATGCAACTCAACTTTTGCGAAGTCAAAAGGCAGGTAATGAATTGATGAGAGACACTTGCAACCTGTATCATCAGGAACTAAATTCTCTAATATGTAACTGTTCCTGTGGACCAGGTGGAAAATTGGTCAGTAATCCAATAAAAACTGGGCAGAGTTCCCACAGCTCATATGTACAGTTTAAATAAAGAAGGTTTAATAAGGGAAGCTCCAGATTGCGCAGGAAGCATAGATTGCACCACACAGGGTCGATTCGTCTTTCCTTTCCTTTTATAATGAGACTATCCGGGGCATGGGAAGAGAAGCTTTTATAGAGAGAAGTAAATCTTTACTTCTTTATGAACGGAGTCTGGTGATGTCTGAGCACGTTACAGTCTGGAACTCAACACAGTCACACCCTTGGCTTGTTTATTTTGAGGTCTCACTATGTACCCCGTACTCATTCGCCTTGGATTCACAACTCCTCTGCCTCGGCTTCCACAGTCCAAGGATGACAAGCACTCGCCACGAAACCCAGCTTTAGAAACGTGTTTTCTAAATGTGCTAGACACGTGTGCGTGTGAAACCGTGTAGGAACGACATTCTTATTAGAGCCATGTAGAAACGAAAGCTTTTATAATCACTAATGCAACGCACAAGTAGATCTACAAAAGAAAAAATAAAGGAACCTGAGGCAGGAGGATCACTGAGTGTTGGAGGCTAGCCTGGTCTACAGAGCGAGTCCTTGTGTCATTAAACCAGACCAAACCAAGTGTGAACACCATGCCCTGCCTAACAATATCCTTTTCTTATGGAATACTTGGAAGCAGAACAGAGCAAGTGTATAAGGTTATTCTGGTGCTTATATAAAAGGACAGGCCTATCATGCATGAGTGAGCAGTTCTCAATGCATATCTAAAAATAGGTCACAGTCATTCCCTCTAGGGAAGAGGCTGAGGGCTTGGATGTAGACTTTCCACTGCATACAAATTTTGGACCTTGTCCATCCTGCTCATTTTAACAAATGAGCCAGAGACGAGGCTCAGTAGGTAGAGAGCTTCCTACTTGTCTATTATTGATGCCTTTAGATGAAGTGGGAGAAGACAGCTGCTTATAAAGTCTGTGGAAGGCTTGTCTGGAAAGAAGTGACCCAGAAGGTGCTCACCAGACCCAAGGGATTTAGTTGTGGGTTGGAGGACCGTGGTGATGGGTCTCTGATTAGCTGCTTTTCTCCCTGTTCCTAGCGGAGCTGCCGAGGTCCTCAGCCACAAGGTTAGCCTCTCTGCGGGACCTGCCTGACCAGCTCCTGGAGCTGTACCAGCAAGGCTTCTCACTGGCTGCCCTGCACCCCTTTGTGCAGCCAACACACAGGCAAGAGAAGACACCCCTGGAGCACATCTTTAGGGCCATCCTTGTCAAGAAAACCAGCAGGTAAGGACTCAGCACTCATTAGCATCCCATCATGTGGAGACTAAGGCATCAGAAGGTAGAGTGGGGAGGGAGGATGGATGGATGGATTTGTGTACTGTCCCTAAGGCTCTGCCTTCTAACAAGTAAGACAAAAAGGATGAGAAGATCTGTGGCATCCTGTATTGAGAAACAAACTCCACATCTGACTGCAAGAGAAGTTCAATTTCATGCCCACCCCTTTTAATTTATGGGTGAAACTCAGCTCGAACAATGTCTTCTCTGCAGAAGCGTGCTTCCAGGATCATGCAGCAAGTAAAAAAAATATAATAAAGCCATTAATCTGAAAATCCATGGTTGGAAACAACACTTTTATTAAAGGCTTTGTACAAGCTCAGTGTTTCCCTCCAAACTTTAGAAATACTTCACAGATTGGAATCTGACAGATGTTCTGTCATTTACCTCTGAAGGACAGGCTTTCTCACCCCCACCTCCATCTCCCACCCCCACCTCCATCTCTCACCTCCCATCTCCTATCTCCCACCCCTACCTCCTGCCTCCCACCCCCACCCTCCACCTTCCACCTCACCCCCAATACTCTCATTGAGCTGGTCTTGATTTTAACTTTTAAGATAAGACAGTTTGAGTTTTTCATTCTGGTTTGTCTGATCCAGTGTTACTTTAGCATCTTGACTGATGCCTGAGTGGGAAAAGAAGTGGGCTTAGTCTTTCAAAAAGAGCCATACTCATTTTTTTTCTTTTTTTTTTTTCAAGAATATATTTCTTTTTTTTTTAATGCTTTTTTATAGCATGTTTTACAAGGGGAGGGGGTAAGAAGAGCAAGGTGGTGGAAAAGTACAAAATCTTCTTGGCCTGTGCCTTGAAACATGTCATGGTCTATAAGGTACTCTGCCTTGAATTATGATCTACCTGCTGTTCTAAAGAAGATATGGTACACTGCTTGAGTTATGGTCTCCCTGCTATTCTTAAGATGATATGGTACACTGCTTTGAGTCTATCTGCAGTTGCTAAGCAGGATCTTGCAGTTGCCAAGCTTCAGAGGACATTGTGCAGGTGGGGAAAGGTAGGGGGTGAGGGTAAGGGCGAGGGTCCTGGCTTCTGGCATCTCCCCCTTCTCTGTTTAGTTAGAGAAGGCATCTTATGATCAATCCCAACTATGTGAATTTTGAATTTGGATGTCTAATTATGGGGGGTCTTAGACAAGTTCACAACCCCAAAACACTGATGTGAGACGAGTCACATCGATGGTCGAAGGCTTTAGGCTGTCGACGATGGGCAATGTCAAGGGACTCCGATGTGGGTGAAAGGAGGGTGAGAGCCCTGTCTTAGGCCATGTAGGCTGCACCCACTCCCAGCACCACGCACTCCTTTTCGGCTGCATTGGGTGGGCCCCTGGGAAGTGGACCTACAATAATCCCGTCATTGGGCTAACTCACAGCCATCCTAGTCCCTTTGTGAATGTTCAAGTTACCAACCATTTGTCAGTTTGGGGTGTAATATTGTCATAAAGGAAGGCTCCCCAATGTTAGCGGCCATATCAAGGGCGGCCTTGTTTTAGGAAAAAGCCAATTTTTGTTGTGGTGATCAAGAGGCCAAGCATACTCATTTTTAAATGCTTAAAAAAAATAATGATAAAAGCAGAAAGTACCATAGGTCACGCTGCTTTTATATTAATAAACTTTAAAGCCGGGTTGTGGTGATGGACACCTGTGACCCCATCGCTTAGAAGGAGAAAGCAGAAAGATCAGGAATTGAAGGTCTAGCCTCAGCTACACAGTGAGTCCCAGGCTAGTCTATGTTACGTGAGACTCCAGCTTAATGAATATGTAAGTACATAAACTAAGTCTGAGAATGGATTTACCCTCTGGTCAGCTGTCTTAGAAAAAATGGGCAACAAGGCTTGTGTTTTAAAGGAGAGGGTAAGCAAGTTGTGTTCATCTTTGTAAAAGTCTTTGCAGCAGACACAACACTGACCTAGTGTATTCACAAAGGACACCCGTGGGGCGTGAGATGACATGCCAAGATGGACTGACTTTTGTTTCACAGCGGCCTAACAGGCTGTGGGCCCTGAGGTGATGCTTGTTGTTGTGACAGTCCTGGGTCACTGTGTTGTTTGTGTGACAACATGTGGTGTCTGCTTTCTACACTTACTGGTTTCTTTGTGTCTGTTATCAATATCTGATATAATCACATGAGGAAATTATTCTGGGCTCCTTGGTGGTATTAATTCACACAGTCACGCAGGGTATGCACAAAATGACAGCAGCTTGTGTTAACCCAGCTTCATCATTTGTCACGTGTGATAACTATAATTTTGTCTGCGTCATTGGCTCATGAAATGGAAGTCCTGGTTTGTTCCTAGTTTTGTAGGATAAAGACCCAATCACCATGCACCATGACCAGAGTTCAAATGGTGAGTCTGCATTAAGCTACCAGCAACTGCCTGGAAAGAAATTCTTTACACAGAGCCGCCTTGGGTGCATTTTACAGGGAGCTTTCAAAGGCAGAGATGTAAAGATGCAGAAAAACTACATCCTGGTTGGCAGTTGCAGGGGGCAGGAAAGCAAGCAAGCAGCTTAACAGAAGCCAAAACTATGCGGTCAGCAGGTGCATTTCAACCCCGGGTTTCTAGAACTCTCTCAGCAGGGGTAGAAAAAGGAGAGCTCAGTTTCATGTTAAGTCAGAGATGGCTTCAGCTGAAACAAGATGGAGGAACCTTTGCCCAGTCACACTAGGAAATCCTCTCCCATGCCTGTGTTCTTGCCTCAGATGGTCTTAAGAGGAAGTCCTCTCATTTCTCACTCTCCTTGCTTTTTAATCCAACAACCATCGGGGAAAACTCACTATTATTTTGAAAGGAAATAAAACGAAACAGGCTCACTGTGTGGTGTATGTGTTGCGTGAGGCACGGCCCAAGGTACCAGTGAAGCTATTTATTAGGCTCGTCTTTAGAGGAGACAAGACTCCTGGCATCAGATTTCAGGGGTATCCTCTGTGTATTCTGCTGTGGGAGGTGATGGTAACTCAGGAGTTGGATGAAGCGTGTGTATTATAAATACAATGACATATATGAAGATATGTCTCTTCTTCTGCCTGCACCTGGAGTAGCACCCTCAAACTAATTTGTCTGCAGATCTCGTGGGGATGCTGTTAAAGAACGTTCTGGGTCAGCAGGTCTGCAGGCCTGGATGCTACATCTCCAGTGTGGTCCCAAGTGATGCTCACACCATGTGAGCTCACACTTTGAATACCAAGGGTGGAGACAACCTGACTCATTCATATATACTGCCCACACTGTTAGGGTTTTCTGCTCTTCTTTCTGGGACAACTTTAGGTGCAGAGAAAAGTAAAGAAGGGTCCAAGACTCCTGGCTGGAGGGCCCATGTCCCAGGTTGCATGTGGTTCCTAGGAGTGATAGAGTGTCAGGGAACATCCATCAGTGGAGTTTTCCGAGCCTGCCATTGTATAGTTGGCACAGTGAGAGGTTTATAACATACAGTTTGCAAGGCATCTTCAGTCGGGCGATCAGGTGAGCTGGGTGAGGGTGCCACTGTTCAGTCCCTTACGTGCCAGCCAGGAAAGCCAGGATGTTAGACAGGGGAGAAGAAAATAAGGTTTTTAAGGTCAAGGCACTGGTGTGTGGGAGGGTTTTCCATGGAAGAAGATGACAGTCTCCTTGGCTAGAGTCACCCAGGATGTGCAGTGTAGTGTATCACTGACTCTAATACATTTTGTCTCCCCATCTCCCAGTACGTAGAAACAGCTGCCTCCATTAACTCTGTCATGAGTCCTTGGAACTGATATTTTTTTAAGAAAGCTGCAAAAATCTGATATTGTACCAAAGGAAACATGGCCAGTGGATCTCCCAGTTTCATCCTGAATGCTGTTGGGCAGGAGGAGGCTGACAGGAGCAGGGAGGCTATGGCTAAAGCAAGGTCATCGTAAGAAATACTCTCTAAGGTGCTTTCTTCTCCTGGCCAATGAAGGCCAATGGATGTTACTGCATCAGAAACCCGCCACCACCACACAACTGTAAGCAAGCAAGCTAAAAGGGCCCAAAGCTTTATCAGCAGGTAGTCGAAGAAATAAAAACAGAAGAAAGCTTACGTGATTAATTTTTAATAGGAACTGATAAATCAGTACTTTTAGCAAAGTCTGCCAACGTCTGACGGCCATAAATACTATTAAGTGAAATTATTTAGCTCTGGAAAAGGGAGCGAGTGCCTAGTTAATATTTCCCAAGTAGGCACACGGAAAGAGATTTAGCAAAATAATCTATCTGCTTTACTGGTTGTATAAATGAAGTGTACTGGCCAGGACATCCACAGAAGAACGACTACTTAAAACTTGGTAGGCACACACAAAGTTTTTAGCAACCAAGTGGACTTTGAGGGTATGCAATGATATAAAGAGAAAAAAAAGCAACTTGATTCAAGTTTATATCCATCCATCCGTCCATCCATCCATCCATCCATCCATCTATCCATCCATCCATCTACAGATACCTACAAAGGTTGTAAGATCACCATAGATGTAGTTCATTTATGTCTAGACCACTGTAACACACACAAATGCTTTATCACAGATAAAGCAAGTCATATTTCTTTGCTTCCCAGTGCATATAGCAGCTATCTATACACTGTGTAATATTCTTAGTAAATTTAGAATAGCAGTATGTTTTTCCTTCAAAAAATGCACACGCCTCAGTTTAAAAAGTAGTTTATTGCTAAAAAGATGCTAACGATTATCTAAACTGTTAGGAAGATGATGTCATTAGGTGGGCTCAGCAGGGTTGCCACAAACCTCTGGGTTTGTAAAACAGATTACCTGCAAAGCATGATAAAACAGGGGGAGTCCCAGGGTCTTCTTGAAACATTGTTCCCTGGTGGGGAAGTAGAGGGCTTAGTTAGCTACTAGCTACGGCACTCGCTTCCCAGGGACCAACAGTCAGGTTGATAAAACTCTCATGACGTGTCTGTTTTGTCACCCTTCTGCTAAAAGAG